TTTTTTAAGATAATATATATATTTAATTATAAAATAATGTACAAAATAAAATTATTATAATCACTTAATGTTATTAAAGGTAAAAAATAAAATTGAAATTTATTAGATAAATATTAATTAAAAAAATGTGACAAAAAATAAAAAAATAAAAAAGGATAAATTTTTCAATAAAATTAAAAAATTTCAATCCGTTAGTGGTTTGGTATAAAATTAAAAAATCAAACTAGTTTTTTTAATCCGCTAACAGTTTTGACCCTAACCACTATCCGATAGTGTCAAACCGCTAAATAAAAATTTTACCAAACAATTTGTTTGTAGCGGTTTCGAAATATATAAGTTTACCAAATACCTATATTTAACAATTTAGGTAAACCATTAACCGTACCCCAAAACTGCTATACCAAACGGGCCCTAAATCTATAATTTGGTCGCCTAATTATTATATAAATCTTTGAGTTGGTATTTAAATTAAAAAAAATCTTTGATTTGATTTTATAAATTTATAAATTTGGTTCCAAATTGGTCTCTCTATTAAAAAAATAAAATAGTTGATATGCCCCTTTACTAATATACATATGGCAATCAAGTAAATGGCATGTAAACTATTTTTTAACAAAGGAGTCAACTTAAAACTAAATTTAAAAGTTTTAGGAACTAAATTAAGAATTTTTTAATTTAAAGACTAATTCAAAGGTGTGTATAATAGTTAAGGGGGCAAATTGGGATTTAACTTTGCAAAAAAATTGCAAAAGAAATTTTTATAATTTAATCAAGGATTTTTCTAGTGTACAAGTTAAAATATTTTTGACAATAAATTTATATAAAAAATGTAAAAATAAAGATTAATTTTAGTGTTATTATCATGTAAATAAACTTAATTAAATATTAATAAATTAAATATTATTTTTATTTTTTTAATGCTTAATTGTGCCCTGAAGACATGTTAAAAAAACCTTTGAATTAATGAATCAACACAACATTTTTTAGCTAAAGGAAAAATTTTGTATATAATGCAATTTGAATTCAATATTAAGAAGATGTAATAAGTTTGAGTTATATAAAATATGACAAATGGAGATGATTGAATTGATTGCACAATTGTAAATCCAAATAAAAAAATAAAATAAATCCATTAAACAAGGGAATTAAGAATTTTTTAATCATGTTTAATATAGATTTTTTTTATATTGTACTTTATTTTAACATGTAAACTTATTATTTTTAACTAATTTTAATTAATTAATTATATATTTTTAGAAATATTAATTAATATTTTTATAATTATAAAAGAAAAAAAAACTCATAATTACTACTACAATATGTTACTGACAAATAAAAACTAATACTTTTACATTCTATATTTTTCTTTAATATTTGTAAAAATATTTTTAATATTTAACTTGTCTTGAAAATAAAAATAAAAATAAAAGTAAAAGGAGGACCAAGCACCGCCATCACAAACGAAAGAGGGGACCGAGATAATATTTAAAAGTTTTAAGCGTGTTTTGTGTTCTTTCCTTCCGTGACTTTGTGAATTTGTAACTAATTTAATGTAGAAAAATAAGGTGAATAAGGTGATTCAAGTGCTCTATGGCCTACCGTTCAAAATTGTCTCACGACACACATCCATAAATTAATTAAAAAAGGTGTTTTATACTATCAATTAAAAATTAAAAATATAATTTATTTTATAATTTATTAAAATATTTTTAATAATTATAAATGTACAATTTAAATTATATTATATAAATTTGACTAATTAAATATTTAATTTATTACTATTTATTTTTAATTAATTTAATTTAATTTTTTAATGTTTTATACATAAATTATAAATAAAAATTTAATATATTATATAAATAAAAATTAAAAATTTTTATATAAAATTTTTATTAAATATTTTTATATGATTAAAAAAATTTAATTATTATTTAGATAATATATTAAATTTTAATTAAAACTTTATACTTAAAAAAAATTAAAAGTTCAAACTAAAGATGGGGTGAGAAAAAAATTCAAGTATGTACTCCTTTCGATTCCCTAGTCTCTTCATTTTCATTTTCATTTTCATTTTCATCTTTACACCTATTCTCCCTCGTCCTTTTTCTTCTCCATCTCTATCTTCATCTTCCCCTTTTTTTTTTCCTAATTATTATTATAATTAATTTTAACTAGAACCCAATTTGGGTTCATATGAGAATCCGGATTCAAGTTCTCCATGAAACCCAACTTTTGGGTTTTTCCCAAATGATGGATGATGCTAGGGAGAAGGAGAAAGGATAGGAAAAGAAGGAAGAGAAAAGATGGAGAAGAAGGAGCTGAAATTTGGAAAAAGGAAGATCTAAAAACTCAGATTTGGGTTTTTGTATTTTTCTATATATTTTTTAATTTGTTTTATTATTATTTTTTTTTATGTGGGTTCCTTTGAGAATCCAGATCGGGTTCCATGGAGAACCCAACTGATAGGTGATACTGGGGAGAAGGAGAAAGTATAGGAAAAGAAGGAAGAGAAAGGATGGAGGAGAAGGGATTTCAGATCTGGAAAAAAAGGGTAAAAAAAAAAGGGAAGATATAGAAATCCAGATTTGGGTTTTTGTATTTTTTTTTTCTTTTTTAAAGTTTAATTTTTGTTTGAAAATGGACATGAATTTGCTTAAAGTGGAATTGTTGAATTTCTTGGTTTTGGAAGTGATTTTTTGTGGATTAAATGCTGCAAAAACAAAACGGTAGGTTTAATTGCTAGACGGAGCAATTAAATGATTCTTTAATCTGTTTGTCTTCATTCTTTCCTCCATTCTTAGTGAAAATTTTACCAATCAGATTATGAAAAATCAAAACGAACATAGAAATTTGCTTGGTTTTGGAACTAAGCACAATTTAATGAATTTGCTTAAAGGGCGGCGGGATTTGAAATTTTGATAATAAATTAAAGGTAAATATATGGTTTTAGCCATTGTGGCATGCTTGGGTGGATAAATTTGTTTATGTGTGCGGTGAAATGATAATTTTGGACGGCTGATGACTGAACACGTGAGGTACGTGATTTTTTCTCCGTTAAATCGGTCACAAATTTATAAAGCCGTGGAGGAAATTTATGGCCAAACAGAACTTAGAAAGTGCAGGGAGTATGTTGGCATTTTTAATGGCCCTGCATGGAAACGCTTAGGGTTTCTGTGCTCTGCAACTTTCTTTTGTGCAGTGCGTGCGTGCTTGCGTCAGAAGTTCTGCATAACCCAGGGCTTGGGTTGGAAAATAAGTGGTAGGGGGAGAGAGATTGCAGCCCTAGATCTGCTTGAAATCCGTTTCTCCCTTTTTCTACCGCTATTTCAGTTTCTCATATCTTGATTTCATTGTTTCCTCAGGTACTTTCCTTTTTCACTCTTCTTCACCTCTTCCTTTCTTCCACTTGCTTGCTGTCCTCCTCCTTTTTTAGGTTTGTTTTGTTTGATGGTGAGATCCATCTTGTTAGTTCTTGTTTCTGGGTTGATTTGCTTGTTTCCTGACATGGGTCTCTGTGATTTTTCAGGTTCTAGGTCCCCATCTGGTGAAGCTTCATGGCTTCAAAGCTGAATTTGAAGGGACGTTTGGATTTCCAGAAGGATCCATCCACGTCATGCAGTGCGGGTACTAATTTGGAACCCATTTCGTAGTTGTTGACCTTTAATATAAAGGTTTCTCCTTTTGTTTGTTTGGTTAAAATGATTCCAGGCTCGCTAATCTCCATTAATTACTCCATTAATTACTAAATACTCATTGCTCTGTAGGATTTGATATATATATTTTGATCAACTTATCTCTTTCAATGTTTCACGGTCAAGGGCTAGAACCCTAGCTAGGTTTATTATCTTGATGTATTAGAATTTAGAAGATTATTTGTCTTTTTTCACCATAAAGTAGAACGTAATTTGTGCTCTTGTTTTTCCTATAGCTCGGCTAAATGATGGGAAAGAAGTCAATGTAGCTGGTGAGGCATGTCTGCATGATTGTAAAAAGTCCAATGGGGCACAACAAGCTGTGATGAATTGGGTCTCGGAGTTAGTTCTTCCAGGACATCGTAATGAAAAACGTACTCGTTTGTTCATTTATTATTAGTTGCTTTGATTTTTACACCCTAAGATTCTTTCACATGTAGTCCCAAAGGTCTACCTTATTTACAATGGTTAGACACATTTTTGCAGTACTTCAATTTTTTGGTGTTTTGTTGCCTTTAAGGCATAATTCTGTCTCTAGGGGCCACCAGAAAACATGGATAGTTTGCAAAACCTGACTGCAAATGTGATCTTTATGCTTGTTTTCCATGCAGATTCTGTATTTACTGCTGTGCGTCCTCAATCTAAGGAAGAAGAGGTAATTTTTCTGCTACACTTTTTCCTTTTTTACCTTTCTCCTTGTATCTGCTGTAAATTGGGTGCTGTAATTTAGTTTGTGAAGAGTTGATTGTTACATGAAGAAAAAAAGGCAGTGGATTGTAGTTTTGCTTTCCTTATAATGAAAGAAAAGTATAAATTGTCCTCCACTAGTCTTTTTGGCCTAATGGTCAAGTCCTGTGTTCAACCCAGGCCATTAGTCCCCTTATGGACCAGGGTAGTTGTTGCCAGTCCCCCACTACATTCAACATGATTGAAAAAGTAAAAAATAAATTGTTCTCTTTACAATGGTTTCCTATTGAGGTTAGGACATGTTTGGTTTGTCTGCCTACGTGTGGACTAAAGTCTATTGAGATTTTAGGTCTTATGGAAGTGGTAGAAAAAGAGTGAGTAATGTTAATGGATGAATGGAGGTCTAAATTTCAGGAGTTTGAGCAAGAAAAAGAGGATGGGAAATTAGAAAATATGTAGTGAAAAATTTGGGACAGCAATAACAGCAAAGAAAGGATTGTCTTGCAGGGGAAAGGTGGCGGGGAGTGGTAGGAGAGAATAAAAAAGAACATGAGAATATCCCTTGGCGTTCATGCTTTAGTATATATATGAAGACCACATTTGATTTACAGCTTCTGGTGTAGGGACTGTGGTAATTGGAACCTGGAATATTTGAAGACTACAATGAAGTATATACGATTCGTATATAAAAACCCTAAAGGCTTTGGTTGATTAAGACAAAATTAGGCTTTCTTCGATGGCTGCATGGTAATAATCGTTCAAGGCTAAATTAAATCTTAAGCCCTCAAACTTACTGGGATGTTAGTTTTAAGTCCTTGAACAAAAAATGCATCAACTCCATATCGAATCGCAGTTGTCATTTTTTTCTTCTTGTAAAACTCAACTCCATAGTCCATACCACTTTCTCTTGGCCTGATTATTTTGTTGATTTTGCCTTTGCTTTAGACTGATGTGAGAGCTTCAAGTTACCGAAACCAGAAGACTTGTCCATCCCTAAGACTTCAACCCCAAGGAAATCTCCTCCTTGTTCTCCAATACCTCTATACTACCCGCCATCAATTCCAGTAGCATGCAATTCTGAGGATGTTGAGTTTAGGCTGAAGCAAGAAAATGATCCACGGGAATCTCCTCCTTGTTCTTCAATGCGACTGGACTCCTTGCCATCAACTCCAGATTCTCAGAATGGTAAGTATGTGCTGAAGCAAGAAAGTGATCCTTGCACCCTTCGGTGGAATAACTCAATAGTTAAGAGTTTGAGTTTCAAGTTTAAATCTTGAGTCGGGAGAGGAGAGATTCAAGGAAAAAGTAGGGCTATCCCCTCTTATATGAACTATCATTATCAGATGTGCAAAAAAAAAAAAAGATCTTTGGCGGCCTGGTAAAGAAAATTCAATAGATGTGTGGGGTCTTTTTCTGCTTGATAATGAAGTGCAGCTAGAATAATTCAATCTCACATTTTGTATATCCCAAGCAACCATGGAGTTGAAGATGCTGTCCTTTTTCTGTTTTTTTGGAGCCTTTTCTTCTTTTTGGCTAATGAAGTGTGGCTAGGATAATTCAATCTCACATTTTCTATAGCCCAAGCAAGCATTTAATTGAAGATGCTGTCCTCTTTCTACTTATTTTGAAATCTTAAAGTTGCAAAAACTTAATAGTAGTTATATTTATAGGGAAAAAAGAAAATCAAGATGTCCTAATATTAAAAATGTTAAAATATTTAATAATAATCAATGATGAATTTGAAAATGTTAAGGCTTATACTATGTCCCATACAATTAATGGATGTAATTGGGCGTCTTGAATTTTTTTATTTATAAAAATGTATAGGAAAAATGTATATTAGTATTGATTTAAAAAAATTAAAACTCTAATATTAAATATAGGTTGTTTAATCTAATTAAAATTCAATTCAATATTTAAAAATCTCCCTTATTAAATATTAATATTAATATTTAAAAATTGAGTATATATTTTCATATAGTTAGTTTTTAAATTTATGTACCAACTTTTAATAAGGTGGATTCTTGAATATTGAATTGGGATTTTAGTTTCTAAATACATGTATTAACATTTTATAAGGTGATTTTTTAAATTTTGAATTGCATTTTAATTAAGTAAAACACCACCGTTTTAATTTAGGACTTCATTTTGTTTAGAGTGGAACTAATAGACATTATTCTATGCATATATGTTATATATGTGTGTTAATGCGTATCAATTCCGACTGTTAAAAAAATTAGAATCCCAACCTATATTTTGAAAACTAAAATCTCAATTTAAAATTTAAAAATCAACCTATTAAATTTTGGTATTTAGATTTGGAAATCGATTATATATTTTAATATAATTAATCTCCAAATCTAAATATCAATATTTAATAAAATAAATTTTTAAATTTTAAATTAAGTTTTAATTAAATAAAATGACATACTTTAATACTGAGACTCCAATTTATTTGGAAGTTGAGATTGATATACACTTTCTATATATATATATA